CACGAGCACAGCGAAGTTCACGCGAGCCGTACTATCAACGTCTCAGGTGACATACTCGGTCGACGGCCGCCAGAGTAACGCGATACGCGCCCGCCGACGTTTAACCGTGTGTGAAAGAAATAATATAAGCAATAATTAAATCCAAGAAATTGTGCAGTTGTTAAATAAATCAAGTATCCTAAAGAAAGTGTGTTAGTGATTTCAAGATTTCCTTCCATTCGTTTGATCCTGCTCGGAGTCCCAACTCCTTAGGCTTAACGAACCCGACTATCCTTAAAAATTAACGTTGTAGCCCATCCGGGGTGCAACACTACGAAGCACATAAAAAATTAGGCCCCAGGAGAGCGGTCCCTCGCCTGCGCGGGGTTGGCCGTGGGATCATCCCCCATATCGATCTCGTCTAGATCAGCGGCCTCCTCGACCGGGATCATCCAGGTCCTCCTCGTCCTCCATCTCCTCGTCCTCCACCTCCTCGTCCTCCACCACCACGTCGGCAAGTACAGCATCGGGCATGGATACGAGCAATTCAAAGAGCTCCACGGACCAAGGTAATTCAAAAATCCTGCCGGGAACATCATCGGTGGCGAACCATATGCAATCGCCACACACATGGAAAATACCATAAAAGCAGTTGACAACCTATCGACAACCACTCGCACACACGACGGAAATGGGTCTAAGCGGCAAGGTTGTCAATGAACTCCCCCACGTCACCATCACCGATTTCGATATCGAAACCTTCGTCGTCATCGGACGACGTTTCCGCCACGGCACGATCGTCAAAAATCGGCGGATCGCGATCAAAATTTCCGTTAAAACCCATTGTGTTAACGCAAGGAAGGCACTTCGACAACTGACGAAATGCAGCCAGAGAGCTCATCGCAAAAAGAATGAAATATTAGAAGGGTCACACCGATATAATAAATAAGACACCGAGAGAAATGATACACGTTATAAAAAGCAAGCTTAACAGATTCACAGGAGAATCTTTTTAACTAAGATAACGAATTAAGAATAAAGTAACATTACACCTGAGAATATGATAAAAAAGAAACGCCGAATTCGAGACCGAAAAATTTTCATGAGAAATAAGAATTTTTATTTTAACATTGCAGAATAAAGATATGGATAACCAATGGAAAAGAAGAGGAAAAACTACCATTTGAAGTAGAAAACTTCGAGCATCACCCCGGAATATACTTCGAAGAAATAGGAAAACTGAACATAATCGAGTCATTCTGGAAGATAGTTATAAAAATAGATATCTCACCAATCGAAAAGCGAACAGAGCAAATAGAAGAATACATTCTAAAAACACAAAATATATGCACTATGTTACACCTCACAAACAAGGGGTCATGTCAAAACTATAATACCATAATTGAAAACAATTACCAGCGGTTAAAACATTTAACAAAAAGAATAAAAATCTCTGTATAAAGCACAAGATACAAAAACGAAACGAGGACTGATAGATGGAATAGGAACTATTGCCAAAACATTATTCGGAACAATGGACAATGAAGATAGAAAAGTAATCAATGAACAATTAAGTATCTTAGACAACAAACAACAAACAACAGAGCATATAATAAAGAACCAAATTAAAATCATAAACGCGACGATAGCGCACATAAGTAACCACGAAGAAATAATCCAGAATAATGAAAACATTTTAGCTAACGCAATCAAAAAATTAGAAATGACACTAACAACAGAAATAAGTAGCGAAAATATAAAAGAACACTTTATAATCACCAACGCAATATTTGCCGCAGTGACACAACACGCGGAAGATACTAGAATACCTAACTGCGATAAAAAATGGAATACTACACCCGCGACTAATACCGTTAGAAGAAATAATGAAAAATCTTAAAGAAGCAATCACACAAATACCACAAGGATCATATTTTCCATTTAAAATAAGGGAAGAGGATTGGCATACAATAGAAAAAGTAACAACAATGAGCGCACTGCGACAAAACAAACGTCTACACAATAGTAGGAATATAAGGCGGGTTCTAACTCAGAAGCGTGAGGGGGGTGCCGGTGTGCGGGGGGAACTGTGCGCAACCGTGGAGCTCCGAGGTGGGGGGAGGGGGGGACGGCGCGTGTTGGGCGACCCAGTGCCATTGAATGTAAACAAAAAAGAAAATGTTAATAATCCATGAAATAATTTTACTCCCTCCGGACTATTCGCAGGAGGGAGACTTCATTCACATACCGCGGGATTAACCCGCGGGGGGGACTTCTAAATAATTATTCTCCTCCTCTTCCTCCTCTTCTTCCTCTTCCTCCTCTTCCTCCTCTTCCTCCTCTTCTTGTG